GATCAATTATGAGATATGGATATGTGTCAATCTCAATTATCGATCATATCTTTTATCCCACTATTAAGTCAATGTACGTCGAAAACTTTTTTCCGACTTATGAGTTCACCTTGGCCAAGGATTTCATTATCAACTTAACTGGATAAAATGTAGATCTTAATCTCTTACTATCTAAGAGTGACGAATCCTCTATTGGTCATTCACAACCTTCATATGACTCTGACATACCTGAACGATGTTGTATTAGCGTCCCTTGGTAGAGCAACATCCAACACCACCAAAGTATGATTGTCCTCATATAAGGTACCATGATGATCTCAAGTCAAAGGACCAATTCAACTACCGAACGTTAGAGATTAACCACTAACACTCAGATAGTTATCCATGTGGAATCTCTCAGTGGGTCTCCAATGTTTTGTTCTATAACGAAACATCCACGTGTTCATTCAAGTGTCACCACACTTTATCTTGTGAGATCAACTACTTACTTCACAAGTAAGAATGCCACACGCGATAGTCTATCCGTAATAACGATATCCGTATCTCGTTATTACTTCGACCACGGACGATTTAAGATTCAGTCATATGTAATTTGTATCTCACAATCACAACTCCTTGTGAAACTTGAATCTACGGATTCTATTATTTAATTTATTAGAATATTAATTCAATTAAATAATAGATATTGCCATATATATGCATTGATTATATATATTCAAAGTGTTTATGTCCAAAGTTGATTGGACCTAGGACATAACACTTACACGTCGGATGTTCTTTTCGGTGAGTATACGGACCAATCGATACTGATAGGAGACATGATGTCTTTAGAAGAGAAAGAGGGGCAAATTTTGGAAGAGTTTTAGATTTCTTATACTTTTTGCCGAGTGAAATAATCTATGGAAGGATTTGGAAAGTTATGCGCAATACTATAGTTCGAACTTTTTACGATTTTAAAAGCACTATGGTTAAAATAAAGAAGTTGCAAAAAAATGCTCACAATCACATTTAAATACAACAAATTATTACATTCCTTTTGAACTCAAATTCGGGTTTAAAACATTAAATATTATCCTCTTATTATAGCTAAATACAGAAATTCATAAACTTTTACGCATAAAGCTATTTGTACATTTTCTTTTACCACTTGGTTCACAGATGGATGATGTAGCAGTTTTATAATGGTTGAATTAAATGTGTGAGATTGGGCCATGTGTAAATTCAATAAACTAGGGGGTAAAGGGAGGTGTAAATGTAACAAGATTGAACTTTTATTGCACTTATATTATAGCTAAAGTATAGAAATTCATAATCTTTTATTCATTTGGCCCATGTTTGGTGGTCATTTTTTGGAAAACATTCTTTCGAATAATGAATTTAGGAAAATGTGTGGTTTAAAAATAGGAAAATTTTTTGGGTTTACATGTTGAATATTTTATTGTATGAGTATGTGGTTGAAAATCAGTATCTAGAAAAAGAGTTTTAAAAGTGATGAAGACAAACATGGTTTAATTGATACACATGGATTAGACCCATAACATTTAAAGTGTATTCAATTATAGGTTTCCAAAGAAAACCAATTAAATTTAGTATCCGTTTGAAGTATTCATCATAGCGTCGAGGTTTATTTGGTTTCAAAATATCCAATAAACCTTCACCTTAATGCCAAATATACCTGCAAAAAAGAAAAACAAGTTTAGTAGTCGCACAATATGATTTAAAATAAAATTAAAACGTCACATGCCTTTAATGATATTTAGAAGTGTAAGGCAATTTCTAAACTTTACCAATGGGAGCATCTTAGTGCTCATGTCTGCACGGTTATAGTTAGAATGCACTTTTTTTGAGACACTACAATGATAATAAATTGCAACCTAATATCTATATGTTTAGTGTGTTCATGAAACATAAGGTTTTTACACAAATGAATGACATATTGAGTATCGGAATATAGTATCACATTATCATTTAAAGCACCTAGTTCATTAATTAAACCTCTAAACCACAAAACTTATTTATATATACTCGGACTTAGTAGTAGATAGAGCAACAATATATTGGAGTTGAGACTAATACTACGCCAAAAATGATCTTTCGCAACACATAAAAGGCAACATTCGATAGTTAAGTGTTGAAAAAGGAGTCTATCGCAACCTTTTAGCAACATTCGATAGTTAAGTGTTGCAAAAGGAGTCTATCGCAACATTTTGATAAGTGAATGTTGCAATTTGTTAGTATAATTGAGTTTTAGCAACATTTTTTGAATAAATGTTACAAAAAAGTACCTTTCGCAACGTTTATTGGACGTTGCTAAAAAATCAACTATCTGCAACGTTTATTAAATGCTGCAAAAGGGTCAACTTTTTGCAGCGTTTATTAAACGTTGCAAAAAGTTGTTTTCGCAACATTTATTAGACGTTGCAAAAAGTTGACCCTTTTGCAGCGTTTATAAACGTTGCGGAAGATCAAGCTTTTCGCAACGTTACGAAAGACGCTTTTCATAATTTTTTTTATATTTTAATGATGATTTTGCAACGTTTGTTTTTTAAAATGTTGCAAACACTCCCTCCATCCCTTTAAATCAAGCCCTAGTTTTTCCTCATCTCGCTCCGCCTCTCCTCTCCTGTTCTTTCTCAACTCTACCTTCCTCCTGAGACGAAAATGGCGCTTCATCCGACCAAAGTCCCCTTTTACCAGGTATGAAGGTCCTCCCCTCCGCTCTCATAGCCACCATCATGACCAATCTCGACATCCGCTCCATCCAGTCACTCGCATCCACTTGTAAGACCTTCCGCTCCTGTGCCGCCCACATCCTGTCTTTCGTCCCCACCTTCCACCTTTTTGTAAGATATAATCATATCCTTGGTATGAATTTTTTTTTTCTTTTACCCTAGTTTTCGGTTTATATGTTTCAATTCTGGTTTTATTTTCAGGATATAGCGCCGTTGATGGATTTGTTGAGACCTTTGTTACCTTCAAACCCGTACTTGAGGAGCCTAAAGGTGGATTGCACACGCCTTGATGATTCCTCCCTCGATTTCCTAATAAGCCCCTCTTTGCCAGAGCTTTGCCTCTACAATTGCGCCGACTGGTTGTGGAGAACGTAAAGCATTGCATCCTAAGGTTGCGAATATTCATTTTTTTATACTCTTAATTGATTATTTTTGCCTTTGATTTACTTTATTTTGATAATTAATTCAACAGGTCTGTCAACTGGTTGAATCAAATCAGGATGCAATTTTTCTTAAGGTTAATTATGAAGAACTTAAGACCACGTGCCATAGTCTGCACATTCATATCCTGCCCTTCTTCAGATTCTATAGGGTGCAGAGGGCAAATTGTGTAGTTGCAGTTGTACTAATGCAACTATAAGTAATTATTTTTACATTCTATTTAATTTTTCGAGAATTTTTATTTAGAATCATTTTCTAAGATTTAACATTGTCTGATTGATGTTGGGGTGTTTCTTAGTTGTTTAAATGTGTTGACAGGGGACTGTTTGATTTGCAGTATTTAGTTTGCAATGAATAACTATGTGTCTTTAGTGCTATTTTGATTTATTTGTCATTAGTTATCAATAGTGTGCAAGGAGAATTGATAGAAACCTATGGAAGTCATAGAATGCTCGAAATTATGAGGGANTAGGTGAAAAGGGCATGTTCTTATTATTGAATAGGGAGGCTAAAGAACAGATTTTGTCACGACCCGTCCCGAATAACCCTAATGGACCCGACACGTGTCGCGCGCCGATGGTAGATCCCAACTAAGTAGCGGGCCCACCACCAAGGCAACTAGACTAGTTCTGTCTGACATATTTATGAAATTTTTGACAAAGTCTCCCTTGTAATACGGACTAAAACCCACCTGAAATATAATCAATTACCTCAAACTGCACATATAACTTAAAACATGATACACCAGCCACTCAAACTCAAATTACTCCAAATACAATACTGGTAAATCAACCTTTACAATTATTTATCATTTAAGTCTCCAAATATACTCAAAATTACCCAATAGGCAGCAAGCTCATGAATTGGATACACAATACAATTTCTCTGATAAAACATACGGGTATCCCAAAAGAAATAGGTACCAAGTAAATGGACAAAATAAGTCATACAAATAGACAAGTGTGGCTCAACTCGGTGGATTAATAGGCTCCGGTACTGCTCAACTCAGCTATTATCTGATAAGGAAAAATGGAATAAAATATGAGCTTGTAACTCAGTGAGTGGATAGTTCGCAAATACATATACTTTTCCATTTATACATATTTACTGAAAATCTAATTTATTTTCTTACAACTTTAAGAAATTCTAAATCCTGATCATTTCTCTTTAGAACTGAAATATGATAAAATCATAAAATTCTTACTCTTTACTCTGAATAACCAACTGTAAAACAGGTCGAGTATAAGAAATCTGGTATCAACAAAATCTGTGTAAAGCTGTCATTTCTGTAAGTTAAAATCGTATTTCTGTTCTGAATAAGCTGAATTCTATAATCTGAAATGAACTGTTATCTGATATCTAAAAATCTGTGAATCTACAACTGAATAAACATAATATGATATACTAAAGAGTCACACTAAGAAGTACCCAATTAATAGCATTACTCATGTACAGAGTAATCTCGATGTACAAAGCAAA